AAATTAGTCTAAAACAGCTGCAAAAGTCCAGGCCAGAAAAAACATGTGTTTTTTGTTGTTGACCAGTGTAATCTGATAATATACTGCATGCGCACATTGGTGTCAGAGAAACACAACAGAATCCCGACATGCTTTGCATGTAAAGATTACATCGTAACAAATGGCACAAGGCCATGGAAAGGCCAAGGCTAACTGTATGTTGAACTTCATTCACACCGTACGTGGCCAACTGTGCTAATCAGAGGTGCGGGGGAAGGACAACAAACTAAACAAAAACGATTCTAAAGAAATTCGTTTTCAATTTACAAATGCATAGATCCAGTGGCTTCCTAATATCGGAAGAGCGTTCCAGACGGTCGAAGCACATCTGAAAGTGTGTGATGCAGCGACCATCTTTTTCCAATCAGTTTTATTCTTCTTAGGACTCATCAATATAGTATAGCCAGCTGCTGCCACAGCAGAGGTCGCAACCGGGTACCCGATACCCGTACCCTACCCGATACCCGGCTACCCGTACCCGGCCGGGTACGGGTAGCCGTTTGCGACCCTGGTGCGGCCGGGTACGGGTAGGCCGTGAGTCACTGGTGAGTAACCGTTTGTCACTCATTTCGGGTAGGGTACGGGTAAGGAATCAAAACCCGTTTGCGACCTCTGTGCCATAGCCATCTGCTGCCAAAACTTCCCACGGGGCTTCTAATGAGCAGCCCTCTCACGATAGTGGCGACAAATTTAGGGAAGCCCAAGGACTGACAAATCGCCCCGTCTGCTACTTCAACAGAGCATGCTTGAATTATTTCGCTTTACTCTTATGGCATTTGGTTAAACATGCCTGTGCAGGATCCTCTTGAAAATGTATTTCGAGACTCGGTGAAGTTAAGTTAAGTGCATATGCAGCATTACCTTTAGCGCACGCATACAATCGAACCCTTTACACCCCAAACAATACTGACACCAGCAGCGATGCTTGACATTTTTGACGAAACAGTGACGTTGCCATGGCGCTTGTGCCAAGCTACGTGCATTTTAAGGGTGCTGGAAGGTCGTGAAAACCAACGTTGATGTTTCGCGTTCAAGGGAATCATATTTTTGGTTCTTTCGGTAAAGTCACGTAGAAGGGAAATAATAAAACAATAAAACATAATAACATTCTCACGTCTCTGCCACAACGCAAGCAGCCGTCCTCAGGTGAAGAACAGGGCTGTCGGAAAGACAGCGTCCTATTGAACACTGCTAAGCTTGGAGAATTTAACCTTATTATGTTTTGTTTTTATTATTTCCCTTCCAAGTGACTTTACCGAACGAACCAAGAATATGAATCCCTGCAGTCACGAAAGCTTTAAATCGAAATTTGGAATCATATTTAAGAACGTTCAGTTGTCGATCTCCTTTGGTCGCCATCTCCCCCGCTAACCGCGTCAACAACCGATGCACGAGGTGTCCAGAAAGCTCTCCTTCACTCTTAGTTAATAGGTTACGTGATACCCCCATTATTGATCTCCCTGTTGGGTGCCAAAAACCGCCCCAGTGCGCACGAGACCAATTATTGGACTGTTGATTATCTCGAGTCAGATGGAAGATGAGTCTGCGAGTTATTTGGGCACGCAATAAATACCTTCCAGAAGAAAGAACGCTACACGCTGGATCAAAGTGCGCTTGCGGGAAGACGCCTTTCGGACGATATATGGACCTTGCCCCGAGTACGTATCTTCTGAAATAATTGTAAATATGTATTTGCAGCCTTCCCAAGAAGCGATGTAGAAATTGCGATTGTCCGTCGAGTGGTGAATTCTGGGTGTGTCCAATTGGGAAAGACCGGCCTTGATGATGGCGAGATGTGAATTCCCTTGCCTGGTATACAGGAGGTCGTGCGTTCGATCCAGACCCTGACACCTGATTATTTGGAGTTTGCATGTTCTCTCCCCGTGGTCGCGTGGATTTGGCTCCGGATCCTCCGTTTTTCCCCCTTCACTTTTAGAAACATTTGTTTTAGAGTATTTGGCTGCTATACATTTCCACATAAGCCACTTCATTGAGCCATCATTTGGGGCCAAGTCGCTTCTGCAAAAAGAGCTATGTAGCTTTGTGGACCTCGCCTGGTAAAATAAAAAATAGTTCAGATTTAGTTTCAACTCCCTCCCTATGGACAAGACAGTGAACCACTGTTAGTCTGTGCTCTCGTGGTAAGTAAACTTCGACACTGGCAATTCTCTTAAACGTATTGCCATAAACAAGAATATAAAAAACCCTCCACGCATGTCCCACTCTGGCCTCAAGACCTTCACATTTTCTTTCCTGCCTATGCCCGACTGCCTCTCCCTGCTACTATAAAGTGTCTTGAGATAGAGTTGCATTCGGACTATATATAAAAAAAATTTCATTGTATAGCTTCACACAAGAGACTGTCTGCCTGTTCAAGTACAGGGTCATTCACCTTCTTGGTTCTTTCGGTAAAGTCACGTAAAATGGAAACAATAAAAATAATAAAATAAAACATAATAAAATAATTCTCACGACATTTCGGCCACAACGGCTGCTTGCGTAGTGGCCGAAACGTCGTGAGAATAATTTTATTGTTTTATTTTATTATTTTAATTGTTTCCATTCTACGCGACTTTACCGAAAGAACCAAGAAGATGAATCCCTGCAGTCACGAAAGCTTTAAATCGAAATTTAGGGTCATTCACGTTCCTCTACGTGTCCGCCTACGACTGGCAGCATCTCCGCAAAATAAATATTCGGCCCCACCGTTTGCGAACGGCGTCTTGAGACGCGGTCTCGTTTAGACCACTATATATACACACACACGCACGTCGTGTTGGACTGTGCGTGCTGCTTTAGTTTTTAATCTTATGTGCCACGGGGATGCACTTGCTGCTGCTGCTGCTGGCAGAGAGCTTCTCCCTCCCTCCTCCTTGGGGGGACATTTCACGATCTTGCTGCAGAAAATGGCCAAGGAAGCTGCAAACGACGGCCAAACTGCGGCACTCTCCCCCCCCCCCTCCACCCAGCTTAGGATTGTTCAGACGATGGAGAAGTGCCAGAGACAATCTAAAGTTATAGCATTAATATTGATAAATAGCACACGCCGGGGAACTGGGTGGAAATGCCAGAGGTTGGGACGGCCAAGCGAAGGAAGGCAACCCCCCCCTTAGGATTTTGGTGTAAAAATGCCCGGGCCTGTCTCAGCCAACTTGAATCGGTTCGTGTGCGCTGTAGTCTTACTGCTTCGGCTGCAATATTAGTCTCAGAAAATGGCAGCCCATCGTACGCACGTGTCCGTGTCAATCGGTTTGGTGCAGTGGCCCGTTTCTTCACTATGCAAGCCGAGTTTTGACTGCCAACTGTGGTCAACATCAGTGGCAATAGGTGGTCGGAGGCTGTCCCGGGACTCGCTTAGGTTAATTTGGCCTTAAACGAGCACCTGGACAGCCAGGCATGGCATTGGCCAACACAACATACTTGTGTGCTATGTTGGCCTTTAACAGACGCCTGCTAACAGCGCACGTCTCAACGGTCTGTCAGGCTGAACGGGAGATATTTGTAGAATTGTTCACACACACCAACTGTTGGTGAAACAAGAGAGGTGGTAAAGCTGTTTGCACGACACAACTCTGGCAACAAAGGCTCCATTCTCAGCCACGATGCACTTTAGTGGCAAAAGGTACCAGAGGGCCGCCTTGGCCAGCGCGGTTTGTGAACACTCGTGAGACAAACGTGGCTGCACCAGGGAATGATCATACCACACATCACGCTCTCATGTGACCGGCTGGTCTTGATTGCTCACTCACAGCACTAATCCCCGACAGTCTACAGAAGCCAACGCAGAATCTTTGCCCGTATTGTTTTTGCGTTTGTAAGTTTACACGGGTGTGCAGTGTATGTCGGTGGAGTGCTCTCTCTCTCTCTTTAGTGCTGCCTAACGGCGTGTGCGACTTCACGATGATATCGGTCCCGGTCTGTCTAATAGTTTGAGCAATTCTACATGGATTGTGTCGGGCCCGCACGCTTTGCCTGGCTTAGCTGTTTTGATTGCATGTTCTACTTCTGCTTTGACACAAGCTCGGAGATTCTTAGCACCCCTGTCCTATTTAAAGGACGCCGATACTCAGAGCCTTTGTTGATTTTGCTTGTCATCATTGAAGTTTTCGAGGGAGGAATAATCCAAGTAGTTTCCCGTTACTTTCTTGGATTCAAATTTATTTGAAAAGGTCATGTGGGGACCTTTCGAAACGGGTTTTGTCTGACGTCTCCACTGAAGTCTTCCCGCCTTGGGTGACCCTTCTGAGAGCACTAGGCTCTCGATGGTATAGCGATCAGCTTTCTCAGACGTACACAAACTCTCTCGCCGCGTTAAGGCACCGTTTCTCGAGTGCACCGAGTGAATAATAACTGGCGACGACGTGACTCTCTGGGACAAATCAGATGCCAGATATCCAAGGTGACACAAGGTCCCCCTCCCCCGCCCCCCAAACCAATCAGAAGAGCCATTGCATGTAATGGTGCACCGCTCCGTTACGGAACATTCGATTGGCCAACGCACCGCGTGACCGCGAACGCCGGTAAACGATTGGTTGATCGTCGGCCCATTCTTCTTCGTTCGAGCTTGTGGCAAGTTAGTGCAAGTTATACGTCCCACCTGCATCCCAGCTTAAATAGTCGCTCCAAGCCTGGGGTGTGTCATTCAGACTCTTGTCTACTCGACAGACCTGCTCTCCACCCGAGGACGGCTGCTTGCGTTGTGGCCGAAACGTCGTGATAATTATTTTATTATGTTGAATTTTTATCATTTTATTATTTCCATTCTACGTGACTTTACCGAAAGAACCAAGAAGATGAATCCCTGCAGTCACGAAAGCTTTAAATCGAAAAATGATACGTCCAGGTTTAAGTTTGCGAGCAGTGCGATGGCGTCGGGAGTAGGGCGACTGCCAACACTGTCCAGTCTGCTGAACGGCGGGGGCAGCCCGAATGTGAACCCATGACAACGCGGGAGACGCAGGTTTGGTCTGGGTTTTCCATCTTTATTTCTCGTTTCGTCGAGTCATTTGGCAAAAATAAACTGCCGTAAAAATGTGCACGAGCCCGATTCTCATACCACGAGAGATTCATTCAGAAAACACGGTGATGGGCGAGAGGCCGGTAAGGTTTCACGAGCGCTCCCCCTCAGTAGAACACCTCCGCAGCAGCCCAGTGTGGCGCCTGTGTATGACACAAAGAGAACACAACAATCATCGTACGAACACCACACGTCACCACAGCCATCTCTCTTTAGAAGTTATTAAATCCTTTATTAAGTTCACTTGCGTGCTTGCTTGAGCGCTTACGACCGTGCAAATCTTTCGGTCGTTTTTTAACCCACTTCCCGTGATCCAATCGAGCTGACATTTTGCACACAGACTCGTTGTGCGTGACAATTTATTTTCGTCACATTTTCCCTCCCAAAATTTTCCACTTTTTAGGGAAAAAAAATTTCATATTTCATTTAAAATACCAATGTGATAAAAATGAAACTCTTACTCAAAAAAAACTGAAATGAATAATAAAATAAAACCGATGCCACGCATATAAAGGATTGATAGTGAAAAACTTTGTATTTACGGGTTACATTTTTTTTGTACTTAGTTTGTTGGTTTCCCCCCCGCACCCCTGATGAGTATGCTGGCTACGTACGGTGCAAAAGAAGTTCAACATACATACACAGCCAATGCTGCCAATGCCACCACTCCGCTTGCCATTGGTTACTTCCTTACGCTAGATTCCACAGCTGTTGCAAAAATCACTCGACTTCCACCACCTGGCTCAAGGTCTGTTTTACTCGTTAAACGGTCGCTATATCCTTCGGGGACTACTCTCAGTCTCATGATCACCACCACCACCACCATCTCTGGCTTTGGGACTTGACTACAGTAGTCAATTTTTGCCCTCCTCCATCATCCTCCACATGTGTCCCAACCATCGTAACCTCCCCCTCTCTCTTCTCTGATCTCATCTGCAACTCCTCTTCCAACACTGACTACTTGCCATGTTCTATTCCAGAACTTCCAAGCTGCTGACCCTATCCTGGGATATTCTTAGTATCGTCCACAAAGAAAATGTGCTCGAAGCACGTTGGGTCTATTTCTACTCGTGGTTTATTCGGCTATTGTTACCATTTAGCTGCTTCTACACCCCTCCCGCCCCCCACTATGAAAATTTATAGTGAGAACGCCGACACATCAGACGATCCTCTATTGTGCCAATGGGCACTGAAAAAAAACATGTTTTGCTGCAAGTTTGAATTCTTGATGAAATTTTATCCCAGGAAAGCCTCACGGAACCTCTTAGAATTATTATCACGAGGGTCTGTGTGATGATTAGCCAATTCATATATGAAGCTTTGTGTGCGTATATGGCAGAAAACCAGAGACAGCCCATAGATACAAAAGGCGAATGCATAGAAAACCTTTTTCAGAAGACCCCGTCAGAATCCTACTTACTGTACTGCCTCATATTGCAACCACCAGCCATCACCGTGAATCATTTCACATGTGATCTCCCACTCCCGCCTCACATTGGCCAATATAAATACTGTTTATGCTGCAAAGCATTTTGTGGGAAAAATGACAACTGTAATGTTTTGGTTTCGAATGGATTGTGGGTATATTACCCATCATGCCGTGTAGTGTAAATATTGTTACATTTCATTTGTTGTTATTCACCACATAAGATGACACCTAAACTGTATCATTCTATTCATCATTAGCCATGATCTTATGCACTGCTGGATGAATGCCTCCCCAATCTGTTGCTATGTCTATGCCAAGTCTTGCGATGGAATCACTGACTCCATCTCTGCAATGGACATCCTCTAGGGCATGCTCCATTCTTTGTATGCTATTCCGTCGTCAGTCTTGACCACAGGCCATGCCACATATCCCTTCTTGTTATGAAGGATCCTGCCCAAGTCCAATTATTTTCCTATAAATGTGTTTACTCCCTGAACCATGTGTTCCACTTGCTCTATGTGTAATGACCAGCAGAGGTCAAAGGTCAGGTTTGAATCCGTGAACTCTCGGTTTGAGGGGGGGGGCGATAGCGCTCACCGCTGAGGCCACTCTACCCACAAATCCAAAACCCTCAACCTCCTCCATCACGGAGTCTCTCGGGTTTCCTCAAAACACGTCCAAATCAATTAGCGATCCAAAGTGGAGGGAATTAGTGGTGCAACAGCGCTGGGTTTAAACGAGTCTTAAAGGAGAGTCACAGGCCAACAAAACAATTAACGTTTGGCATCTGAATGTCGTAACTTTCAATCCACAGAGTGAAAGGACACCTGGTCTTGTCCGGTTTAAATCCGTGGGTGTGGATAAATAGGAGTCAAGGTGAGCTCTGACCGGTAAGTGAAGGTGAGGGAGTTTGTGTAGTTGTTCATGTGAATGACGGTGGGAAGGTGTGCACCTAAAAGTGATCAGGTGCATGTGAGTGGGTGCAAGGAGGTGGGAGAGAGGGTAGGGATTGAGGGTGGGCATGGGCAGGTAGGGTTAACTGTGAATTCAGAGTTCATCGACAGGTGCAATGTGGAGTTTATGTGCAAGAAAATGAAAGCGAGTGAAGAATGGTGGTGAGCGGGGGGGTGAGCAAGCGTGGGAGTGAGGTGGCTGGCTGTGCCGGTGAGCGGGTGAGGGTGGAGGAGGTTGTGCGGGTGAGCGGGAGGGAGGTGACGTCAGTGAGCGTGTGTTTTTAATTTTAATTTTGGCAATAACAGGGCGTGGAGAATGGAGCATGGAACGGACGAAGCCCAGCTGAGCGGATGATGCACCCACCCACCCACCCCATTCCACGCTATTCAACATGCAAAACATACAGACTCATCACACATACACACAACTCACCGTACACACTCAACACATGTTCACAACATCTAACTATGCACCGACCACACCAATCCACCCACACATCATCCCCTAAACTTAATTCAATGCGCACTCATAGATACGCTCAATAGGCACGCACACACATGTACATCTTACCATTGTTACACATACACAACAACTGGCCATACGGTCAAAAAAATATCCCACCCATCCCTCATCCCGGAATGCCATGTAAATTCAATGCACACACAAAACCCGCAGAGTACACCAAACACAATCACTCACACATACCCACCCGTGCCCTAATTTCACAACGCAACTGCCGACGCACGGTACTTCTCAGACTTGCGGACAACTCCAAGTCTGAGCACAAACCACAAGACGCAAACTCACACAACCGCGTAATACAAACCCACGCACAACTCATCTCTGTAAAGATGCACAAATCAACAACACACAACCGCACACGCATCTCCACAAATACCACGCAAAGCACACAAACCTACACGACACAAAATGGCCACATCATTCTACACACTATATAGTAATATATTATTAAACTTTCTGAATTCTTTATATATACACACACACACATGTATTTAATTCTCAGAACGGATGAATACATAGAGACTGCCCATCTTTCCCTGTGCTCCCTTTAATCCGTTGTGACGGCAGGATGCTGATGCCCTGCTCTCCATTGCGAGAGAGATGCCAAGATGATAATCGCGCCATTCCCTGGTTATAAAGCGCTCGCCCAAAGAATTTGGAAATTAAGACTCGTTGTCCCCACCTGAAGAAGGACGCCTGTGTTGCGCCCGAAACGTCGTGATTTGATAACATTTTATTCGAGTTGTTTTCATTCATTTTTATTTTATCTATTTAAATTTTTACCAAAGTGACTTTACCGAAAAAACCAAAGAGTATGAATCCTTGCGGTCAGGAAAACTTCAAATCTAAAATTAAGACTCGTACATTAAGGCGAAGGCCATCATGCAAATACTGACACCTGGCATAGGAATGTGGAATTTCCACAACCGACTTGAGTCCGCAGACAAAAGAACTTACCACATCCCGATGCTGCTTTTCACAAGGCCACAGCACCTATTGCCATAAGGTGCAGGCCTGCAATGTCTCGCTCACACCACTGCTGGCGGAAGGGCGTCCACTATAAGGAAGCTCTATACAGCCCCTTTGGAGGGGATTTGGCCTACTCTTCCACGCTACCCATACGTCTAGGATGAGGTCGGAGTAACCAAACTTTACCCCACCACACAACATGCCAATTGACCGACTGCTTCACCCATTTATCACTGCTGGTGGTGGTGGTGGTGGGGGCGGGCGGGCGGCGCATGTGGGGGTGCATGGGGAGGGGGGTGGGGGTGTGTTTCGTAAACTAGCTCAATGTTTCAACCGCCGAACCGAGAGATGGAATAGAACCAAACGGACCTCCGGATAGCAAGTCCAGAGTGCAAAACCATTACGCGCAGCTGCGGCAATTCACTTCGTCAAAAAATAAAAACAATTAAGCGTTCAGCTTTTAACATGCGAGTAAAAATAAGCGTGAATAATGCTAATGCCGCTTCAACACGGTGTTAAAAACACACGAGCACACGATGGTCAGGCCAATACATTAATAGAGGCTTCTTTCCCCTGGGCGCGAGACCTTTCACCCAGCCTCATTAGCACCAATTGCACTGCTGCGTGAGTGTAACATTACGTTTTTTTTATTCCTCTAACATTTGCTATTTAAGAAGTATTCTGTTGCCAATCTTGTCCCCAAAAGCAATAACAATCTGGGCAATGGTATTGGTTAAACAACGTGGTTCCATAGCGTTTGAATTAGTGGGTTTGTATTATCATAAGTGGTTTTTTTACCCTTTCATCTAGCAACAAAACTGGCACCTTTTTTACAAGGAGTATACTGATGGTGCATTGTCTTTGAGTTGTGCGCCTTTTGGCATCATCTGGTCCAACACCATGTGAGACTAGGCTCTAAGAAAAGCTGTCTTGGGTGTGGACCAATCAATTTCAAGGACAGTGCATACATTATCAGAGTTGTGTTTTTTGTTTGCATTCTGACCGCAGGTATTGTGGTCAATGCAAACATGACTCCTTGTAAAAAAGGTGTCAGTTTTGTTGCCAGATAAAAGGGTAAAAAACCAATGATCATATTTTGCTACTGGCAAAGGAGGTTCCTATGGTGTAGTGGGTTTGTAGTTTTCGTGAGCAGATGTGAAGTGTCCTCTGATAGTCCATGAAGGTTTTCGTCAATTATTCAAGCTTTACAATAAGACAAATTATTTCATGATACTGCTGCAGCTGCGTTGGCAGTGGTGCACAAACACAATTAACAATAATAACACCGTATGGTCTAAAAAACATTTATAGCACAAACAATTACACATCAATCCTTTTAAGGCGGTGTCTCACTGACGAATGCGTGGGGCTTTTTGTTGTTTCTATTGACAATTCGACGGCAGTTCTAGCTGCGTCGATAAGGCAGCAACACTCGCACACTTGGGTAGTTTGAAACACTGCACCGCACGCACTTCATTCCTCTAAAACATCCACACATGGGCCGTGGCGTTGGCGTCACAGCAAGGTTTTCAAGTTGCAGGCGGTCGGTCGACCACAACTTCGTTTTGCGATCCGTTCTGAACACCGCCCGTTTCGCGCTTTTCACTCGAGCCTCTCGGTTTCATATAAATAAATAAAGACGACGTTTGCCAATGTCGTCTCGACCGCACAGTTTAAAACTGCTGTCTAATAATAATTCTTTAATAATAGATGATACCTTTTTGCACACCATGTATTTTTCCAGTGCACGCCAATAAGTGGCTCTCCAAAGCTCCCCCCCCGCCCACCTCCCCGCCCCTAAAAAATGTAACGGTATATTCAAATATTATTGCAGAAAATAAACACGCTCGGGTTAGTCACGGTTTTCCCATGCTATGAACCATGTACTGCCGGCCCTAAAGGTCTTGTCGGACAAAACGACGGACTGTAATCGTCAACGAATAAAAGCCCAAGCGTTCAAGAGCATGCCGTTTTAGTCTTATCCGGTGGCTTGCGAGGCACGGCCGCTGAGTAGCAAAGGTTGGATGGTTCAATCCCACGACAGGCCACGCGGTGCACCTTTAGAGCCCCCTCTATAAAAAGCGCAAGAGCCTCGTACACAAAGCTCGAGTTGTCTCTCACGCTTTATGTCCTCTCTCCGGCGCTACCTCCGCGTCTCTCCCCGCACACCGCCCCCACCCCCATCCCCACCTACCTCCACGCGGTTGTTCTGAGACATTTTCTTCTCGATGTTGACGGCCATCATTTGGCTGCGGAAGGAGAGGTTCTTCGTTTTCTCGATGACCTGCTGGTACGGCGACACTGCGTTGTTGCCCATCACCACGTGGCCCTGCAAGGCAACAGGTGACAGCGCATTTAACGTCCGCAAACAAGACACGTGACTGACGCTGGAAGAAGCCGACGAGCTATGAAGCTCGTGTCCAGCCCCAGTGTCCAGCCCCAGTGTCCAGCCCCAGTGTCCAGCCCCAGTGTCCAGCCCCAGTGTCCAGCCCCAGTGTCCAGCCCCAGTGTCCAGACCCAGTGTCCAGCCCAAGCTGCGGTTGGGATTAGTGTAACAAAGTGTGCTAACCACACAGCAATCAAGCAATTGACCACACAGTAACTGCAATATTCGTGACAATTACACACGAAGAGCGCACTTACACCATAACAACACATACACAGCAAACACACAATTAACTACAGTGACTACACCATACACCGCACACAATCACAGAGTGATTACACTCCACAACATGTACAGAATTAACCACTCGGCGATTATACGACAGAGTAACCACACACAAAGCAAACCACAACCACAGTGACCCCACTACACAAAGCAACTACAACGACCACACGAGAAGCAGTAACCAAACATACAGCAACGACACCGTAGTATTTTAAGAGACGCACAGGCCCCAGCTCTCAAACACAGCGAGGAATTATAGTCATAATAATCCTTGCATTTATATTGTGCCCATAATGTAAGTAAGCATCAAAGATCAGTGCAGAGTTGTAGTTTTTCCTAGCCTAGGTGAACCCCCGGATGGAAGCTGACCCCGAGTGGCACAAAGTGACTCATTAACGAACTGCAAATGGGTATATCTGCCAGAAGGGGGCAATGATTGCAATGTGTAATCTTGAGTCATTTCTGAATAACATGGCAATTAAGGATCCCTCCCTTTGATGCTGCTAATCCTACATAATGCACGGGCATAATATGACTTTGAAAACCCCCCGCCCACCTCCCACGCATTTCACAATTAGCACTATTCGCATTCCTGCATTTCCCATAAATATGCTAAATTCCTCTTCAAATGCAAATTCTTTTGTCAAGGCTCTCTTCCTCCTCCCTCACAGCTTAAATAGACACTCCAAGCCTAAGACGTGTCATTTAGACTCTGTCTTATCGACAGACATGTTCTTCACCTGAGGACGGCTGCTTGCGTTGTGGCCGAAACGTCGTGAGAATTATTTTATTATGTTTTATTTTATTATTTATTACTTCCCTACTACGTGACTTTACCAAAAGAACCAAGAAGACACACCTAGCCCAGTGGCTCTGACACAGCCATTCTGAATGCTGGAATAGTAAAAAAAAACCCTCCCATCATATCAAATTTGGTTCTGCACTTAATTTCGTTAAATTACAGCTCAGCGCCACAGCAAATTTTAAAAAATGTCAGTTTATCACACGAGCATTAATCTACGTGGCAGGATCAATAGGAAAGTGCTTCCCTCGACTGTGTAGACCCGAGATCACTTAAAGGGATCTCAGAGGCAGCTCTGTACTATCCACTTCAGTGGGCCATTTTCTACCACAGAGGGTTTGCACTGCTCTGCAAGAGATTCGAATGGACTCGACAAAGACGAGCACTGCATCACGCGCTTTCAAATGTGCTTCTGCGGCCATCTGGAACGCTCTTCCTTCCAATATGAGGAAGCGAGCTATGCACTTTTAAATCGAGATTGAAAACTCATTCATTTCGAACTGCTTTTTGTGTTTGATTTGCGGTCCTTCCCCCCGCACCTCCGATAAGCACAGTTGGCTACGTACGGTGCGAAAGAAGTTCAACATGCATACGTACGTACATACACACATACATGATGCAATACCCATAGCACAAGTGGGTGAAAGTGGGGCAGGGGAGGTGGGGGGGTGGCGGGGGGCAGGTGGGCGGGGTGGGTGGGTGCTCAAGGTCTGCACCAGCTTCGAGTCGATCTTGGCATCGAGCCGGGCGTTCCGGATCAGATTCACGATCCAACGCTCCGCCTCCTCCGGGGACATGTTCAGCTTGTCCGCGAGCATGCTAAACACGGGGGACAAGTGGAGGCACAGGGGAGTTATATCGAGGGATACGTGGGGACACATGGGGAGAAACAGACACAGATGTACACGTGGTGGGGGCTACATTGGGAAAACACAGAAGACGGACATGGGGACAAGTGGCGATGCAAAGAGATGCACAGGGAGAGACATAGAGATGTGACACAGAGATGCATGGGGAAGTACATGGAAGGGCACATAGTAAGGACACCTTTGTAAACACGTGGGGTATGCACGGGGACACAGGGGAACACATGGGTATGAAGAGGACGCGTGCACAGGGAGTGCGAGGATGCATGGGAGACGCACTGGGGATTGACAGGCACGAATGTTATTTGATGCTCTCTTTCGGCATTCACATTTTTGACGCAGCTGATGGGCATTAACGTCAGCCGACGGGAGCGCTGCCTGCAATGCGGCGCGACGCGTAGCGACTCCGCACTGTTTGTGGGTGGCTGCTGCTTAATGAGGACATGCTTTGCTGGAGAGTCTCAGCCAATGTTGAAACCGAACCAAGGTGCCTTATTTCATAAACGATGCACGAAGACTGTAAACGTTGGAACAACATCGACAATTATATTGAATGTTATTTATAAGGCATTTGAACAAAACTTCTCAGCTCTTCAGTTACTTTCAAAACACTGGACGTGGGACCATCACCTGGAGTGACACACAGCTGTGTCGACAAGGCAGACACGGAATGGATTTGACAGAACTACGCCAGACTGCACTGCACTTAACTATACCGGATCGGGCCAAACTGGACCGGTCTAGACCAGACTAAAACCTCATCCGGACAAAACAACTTGACGAGACCGGAGCGGACTGGATGGGAGCACCTGATGCTGATGCACTGGTGGATCCGGCAGAAGGTTTCGAAAATGAAGAGGCGGGCGTTCTCGATGAAGTCGTCCAGGCAAGCGACAAGGAAGAAGTCGTTGATCAACACCTGCAAAGGCACACACAAAGATAAATATCCCCCATATAGACTTCAATAGCCTGTTTGGGGCAAGTGCTGTTAGCGGAATGATGGGGTCCGGCACACTGCATGCGCGGACGTATTTGTTTTCCACGGCGCTGATGTTCGCACGCCACGTCGGTTTCTCATTCAAGTCGACCTAAGGGAGGTGTGCAACAAAATCACATGAAATGGATCGTTGCCCGTAACCGAAACGGGGTTTCAGTGTTAGAACCAACTACCACGCCAACTCACACAGTCACACACATGCACCCAAGCACAAAGATCCCCCGTATAGACTTAATAGACTTTTGGGGCAAGTGCCATGAGCGAGCGCCTATGAAGACCGGCATGGCACACGAGGGGGTGGGTGGCCAGCACCACGCCCGGCTGCCTTAAACTACTATATATATAAAAAATACCAGGTAAGGCCAACTGAGCCTTATAGCTCTTTTTGAGTAGGAAACTGGCCACACATGAGAGCTCAACGGAGTGGCTTATCGTGTGGACGTTTATAGCAGCCAAATACTCTATACGCATGCTTCTAAACGTGGACGGAAAAACTGGAGGACCCAGAGAAAAATCCACACAACCAGAGAGAGCATGCAAACTCCAGATATACGGGCGTCGGGGTCGGGATCGAACCCACGACCTCCTGTGTACCAGGCGAGGCAGTAAACATCTCGCCACCGTGGCGCCCTTCGTCTCCCTAGTGGCGATGTTTCCACACCGCACCTCACTCATTTGAGGCTGATTCAACATAGGACAGGCCCACAGACACATACAGATGCACACAGATACATACATACAGAGACCCACCCACATTCACACACACACACACATACCTTGATAAACCCTACAGCCAAGTCCCTTAGGACCTCTAGATCTGGCCCAGCCCAGGTTGCATGGTTAGTGTACATGGCTGCATGCTCAGTGTTATGCCCTCAGTGGACAGAACCCAGACCTGGGTCCAACAATGCTGCTTTCAGTGGCCTGGGGGGGGGGGGCGTGTGTGCATGTGGGTGTGCATACATCCCTCAGGGGTTATGTGTACAGGGCCCTGTTTGTTAGGGCGGACGTGGAGGTGTGGGAGCAGTAACGTAGTTCGTCCCCTCAGCGTTGTGCACGTCTGTGTGAGCGCATGCGATCATGTGTGTGTAGGCGTGCGTGCGGCGTCTGCACAGGGTGTTTGCAGGACAAGTCTAATGTGTGCGTCGTGTGTGGGTACAGACATCCGCGTGTGCAAAGTATGTCCCTGGGTGTGTGCAGTACAAGTCAAAGAAGATGTGAACATTTTAACAGGTTAACATCAATTTAATAACTTCTTTAACCCCATTGTTTAAGGTTTCCATGGGTGTCCCGGGGGAATCTGCGCCGGTTTTAAACATTTAGGCTGGCCCTGCCTATGATCCATCCTGGGTTTAACCAGACTGGATTGTGTGAGCTCACAGATCCTTTACAGATCTGGACACAGTCCCATCAGTGACCTTCTCCGGCAGGCGAGGCTGCGTTGGCTGGGTCATGTAGCCTGCATGCCCAGCCACCCCATACCGAAACAAGTTTGGCCAGATAAAGGGGGCTAAACAAGCATGGCACGAGCTAGAGAAAAGATAGACTGATGTGGTACAGAAGGATGTGGAGCTGATTGGACATGCTGATGACTGATACCAGTGGTCTCAAGATTGATCTCTATGGAGGAGACTTGTGAAGGATGCTGCGGGGTGTATGAGGCAGTCGCCCTCCAGCAACAACGGAGGGCGGAGGAACAATGCTCACAACAACGAGCGGAGTGGCAGGTGGCTAAAACACAGCAAGTTGACACAGTGCGGAGCACAGGTGATGCGCATCTGCCAGTCATCTTAGTCAATCAAACCACGGGACCTGGGTATGTTCCATAACCTCCTGCCAGCGAGCTTTCGACACTTCACGTGGCCTCAAGTGCACCTAGCCTGGCAAAAGTGCTGTGATGACATCACCGCCACTTAATGACGAACGGCGGTTGTTGTTGTTGAATAAGTGTAATGTGTCTGTGCTCACTACCAGCACCTAATTCTAAAGAATGTGCGCATACAAAGATTCCCCATGTAGTGCTGTTAGCAAACAGCACAATGCCCGGTCGCATTTGTCTCCCCGGTGTTGATGCTAATATACAGCCCCCGCACCAAGTACTCATGTAAGGCAGAGTTGACCTAAGAGAGGCCTAGTTCGGTTCCGATATACCTCACCCATGTCATTAACCACGACAGGGAATCAAAAGACTCGGGCGACCAAAGTTAAAAACGCAGTGTGCCAACTGCCACACAACCACTCCCCAACATCCATACACACATATAAATGTACAAAATACCCAATCGCACAAAAAATAAAGGCTCGAGCATCCGACCCACATGCATTAAGACAACTACCGCACACAACGTTACACACTTTGCCTACCCGCCCCACAAACAAACAAATGGCAACAATAAATTAAACGTTATCAACCTACTTAGGTTGAATTTACTGCATCATGAAAAGTAACAAAAAATGCGGGCAAAGTAAAAAAAAAACATTTTAACGCCACTTACTGGGAACCAATTACAGCTGAAATAATATTTACACTTTAGAATTTATGCAAGACACTCCACCACCACCAACCCCCCCCCCCCAAGCCCGGGCGAGTGATGAATGCGAGCGCTAACGAGGTGGTTGCATAGAAGCTGGCTTGCGACCGCCCCCGCGGGCTGCACGGTTGCATCATCATCATCATCGCCCTCCAACACGGGGGCCGCAATCGAAGGTAGCAGCAAGTGCAGCCAAGCTCATGGTTCTTTCGGTAAAGTCACGTAGAAGGGAAGTAATAGAATAATATAAATAAAACAATAAAATAATTCTCACGACGTTTTGGCCACAACGCAAGCAGCCGTCCTCAGGTGAAGAACAGGTCTGTCGAGAAGACAGAGTCTGTCTTCTTGACCATCAGATGAGTCTGTCTTCTCGACAGACCTGTTCTTCACCTGAGGACGGCTGCTTGCGTTGTGGCCGAAACGTCGTGAGAATTATTTTATTATGTTTTATTTTTATTATTTTATTACTTCCCTTCTACGTGACTTTACCGAAAGAACCAAGAAGATGAATCCCTGCAGTCACGAAAGCTTTACATCGACAAATGCAGCCAAGCTCTTGTAGTAATTTCTCCCTCTCCCCATTTGGAACTCTAAAGAGCTCGCAAGAAGCAGTGCAATATCACGACAAAAACGGGCCGTGGAAGGTGACATTACGGAACTACTTGCGAAGTCGCTTCAACGTAAGTCTTCAGCCACGGAAAGCAGCACCTTTTAAAGGCCCACAACGATTGTTTGTTGCATGTCAATCACAAACTTTGTGCGTATAGGGGTGGACGCGTTATTTAAATTTAGCAAGCAGGAGCTGGGATGTGTGCTTGTGACTCAATATGGCACATTCCAGTTGAGGTCTTATCAGTGATCTGCACACAGAGCATATATATCGGTGGTGCACCGAGCGTGGACGTTACATAAACAACTTCATGATATGTTTACGTATTTCATCAATGTGCAAAAAAAATCCATTAAGAATGTAATAGTCACTTTGAACCATTTTTTTGTCACCAGTTCATCTGATTTGCTCTCACAGTCTGGTTCAACTTAATCGATGCCATGATCTTTGACTTTTGTGATGCAACCCAGGTTACACTTGGGAGAATAAGACTGCGTTTTATGCGCTCATCTTAACAGATGTGCTCCAATCTCCTGGCAAAATGTAAATTTTTTTTTTAATTGCCAAATCATCTTTCCCACAGCCACATGGATGTTATGTGTGCGGTGCCCGCCGAAGGATCACGCCGATGACACAACTGGAATTAAGCAGCGGGTGGGAAAATAATCTCGCGACGATGTGGCGGAGGAAAGAGCCCAGGGCTGTTGTCGTACCGTCTCGCACTCCCGCAGCTTCTTCTGAGCGCCGTCAAAGTCGAAGTTGACATAGAGACACTCCACGAACTCCGTGATGGGGTCGCGGTATGTGTACGACTCCTGCAGCAAAAAAAACCAAAAACATCGTCCATATTAAAACTAAACTATGTTTTATGTTACCAAGTAAGGCCCCACTGAGCTATATAGCTCTTTTTAAATCCTTTATATTAAGTTCACTTGCTTGCTTGCGCGCTTACAACCGTGCAAATCTTTCGGTCGTTTTTTAACCCACTTCCCGTGATCCAATCGAGCTGACATTTTGCACACAGACTCGTTGTGCGTGACAAATTATTTTCTTAAAAAAAAAATTCCAAAATTTTCCACTTTTTAGGAATTTTTTTTTTTCATATTTAATTTAAAATCACAATGTGATAAAAATGAAACTCTTACTCAAGAAAACCAGAAATGAATAATAAAATAAAACCGATGCCACGCATATAAAGGATTTAAAGTGAAAAACTTTGTTTTTACGGGTTAATGATAGCTCAATGAAGTGGCTTATCGTGTGGAAATGTATGGCAGCCAAATACTCTAAAGCGCACGATTCTAAATGTGGAGGGAAAAACCGGAGGACCGGAGAAAAATCCACGCCACCACGGGGAGAACATGCAAACTCCAAATATACAGGCATCAGGGTCGGAATCAAACCCACGACCTCCTGCATACCAGGCGAGGGAATTAATCTCGCTACCGCGGTGTATATTAGTCGACACGTACTGTAGGGGTGAGTGCTGTAAGGCCAGCAGCTACGAAGAAGGCCTGAATGGTGACCGGCTGGCCACCTTTATCTCCTCGGCGCTGGTACTCATTGAAGTTGACCCGACCGAGGGAGGCTTATGACCGATTCAAATATTCGTCACCGTTATTGGTCGTGAGGGGGAATGGAAGTCTGGTGGCAAAGTTCGTAGCGCAGTGCGCTAACCACTACACTATAGCTCCCCATACAAACAGGGACGCGCGTAAACACACACACAGACACACGCGCCAAGCACCTACAACAACGACACAAAGACAACGCACACGTGTGTGGATGCCCACCTGCTGGATGACCTTCACCAGGTCCTTGAGCACCTGTCGCCTCTTGCGTGCATCCTTGTTGGCGATGATGGCGGTGGTCAGGTAGCGCAGGATGTGCGGGCACATGGTCTGAATCGTGTTCAGGTACCTGCAAGATACAAATGATGACCGAGGTGAACGGGTGACTCAGAAGTCAGAGCACCAAGCTGGCACAGCTGAGAACCTAAATAAATATATTCTTAGGTTAAATTTTTTTTTTACCAACGTGACTTTACCGAAAAACCTAAGAATATGAATCCTTGCAGTCACGAAAGCTTCAAATCTAGAACCTAAATAAAGACTGCATAGATGGAGGGTGGGGTTGGCAACAGGGGCCATGCGGGCCACCATGAGTTAATAGGGGTTACGTTTCCCACTACCCGCCTCCTTGTCGCGTGGCACAGCCCGGGAAGGTGAGAGGCCACCGCCAGATTGGGTCATCCCACGCGCCCCAGCAGGGGCCAGGGCCTCACATCGCATTCATCGCAGCGGGGATGGATTACCGCGTGGCTCCTGAAAGGTTTTTCCATTTATTTTAACATATTTTGTACATATATATAATGAAATAACAATCGCTGGCCCCCAGGCCTGCACAGAACGTCCTTGAAATGCATTACGAGAGTGAGCAGGCGAAAAGGAGAGATTGCGAGTGTGTACATGCGACACACTTGAGAGTGAGAGATGCAGTTGAAAAGTGTATGAGATCATTATGTGTGCCTGCATAGCAAAGATTACAAATTAATGTACGTGTGCAAGTGCAAATATATGTCACTGTGTGTGCGTTAATAAGTACATGGTCGGCCTCTGTGGAGGAGTTCGTGAAGTGACGCTACTGCGCAAGTTGGAGGCGGCTGCCCTCCAACCGTAACAGAGGGTGGAGAACCGATGCTTATAACGGTGAGCAGTGCCGCGTGGCTAGAACACAGCACGGGCGATGCATCTTCTAGTCACCCAAGTTAGCCCAATACATCTGGGCCTGTCCTGTGACCCCCTACCAGCAAGTTTTGTACTACTTCATGTGACCTCAAAGTGCACCTAGCCTGGCACAAATACCAGAGACGTCACCGCCACTTTTTGGCAAACAGTGGCTGTGAATGTGGAGAGGGGAGTGCAATTAGTTGGCACGATATATTAACGATGTCAGCCATCGTAATCATAATGATCATTCCCAATGGACAACTGCAATCTGAATCTGGCAAGGGTGTACCCTAGATTGACTCAGCCCAACACTAGTATCTGGTATGGTGGTGGTTGTGTCGTAAACATCAGCAGTGGCTGAGACAACGGCAGCTGGTCCAGCATGAATAGTGCTGGTTATAAGACCTCCATATGCGCTGCGTTAGCCTAAATAGACACTCAATTACAGCCCTTGCCTCAACCCACACAGCTAAAAGGGATATATTTTTGGAGTCGGTTAATAACCTCTGATCGAGCAAACAAGAGCCCACCGATGTGGGGTGAGAATGGGAAACAAGAGACAGACAGGGAGACTATTAAATGTGTGCGCAAATCAACATCATCATCAACAGCCATAATCTATCGACTGCTGGACAAAGGCCTCCCATAAGTAAATCACCAAAACTGCAGGTCACAACAAGACACCCACTCACCCACCCACTGAACCGCATGGCAGGTTACGAGAGCATGCGAGACAGATTTGGAGTGAAATTAAGCAAGAGGTGTGCGCGTGCGAGAGAGACTGTGAAGGGAGTGAAAGCGAGACGGACAGCGCCGGCGAGAAACGGATAAGAGACGAGAAAAAGGATGGACAGACACGGAGAGAGAAGTGACACGTAAGTGAGAAAGAGGACAGCTCTTCAAAGATTGCGTGCACATGAGCGAGTCGGCGGTGGCGGGAGGGGGGGGGGGCAACAGCGATCGCTAGGGTGATTGAAAGGCAGAGATAGTGCGCGCAATGCAATGAGAGGCAAAGAATTGTTTCAACTCGGGCGTACTTTTACATTAACGAGCAAGGAGGGTAGAGAGTTATTGATTGGAAAGGGTCTCAGGCTGTTATTAATCACCGCTGGATGGAGTGCCCGCTCCTCCTTTGTCATCGTCCACCCCCACCTCCACCTCTCCCATCAGCCAGCCCAGCCACCGCCCTACCCCGTTTAATTAGCCATGCTGGCAGACAGCCCAGTGGCACCGCTAACGAACCCACCCAGCATTACGTCAGCCGCCCGTTAGCGCAAGCACTCCCGCGACGCGTTCACTCTGCCGTGTTTGCGTGTGTGCTTGAGTGCGTGTGCGCGTGAGTGCGCGTGCGCATACACACCCAACAAACTCTGTTAAGGCAAGTGATGTTAGTGAGCAGCTATTAAGGCAGACCGACAGCACAAGAGTGGTTTGTGTGGCCGGCACCACGCCCAGCTGCATTTGTCTCCTCCGTGATAATGGCACAAACACCGCACCGGGTATTAAATTAAGGCTGAGTCTACCCAGGGGAGGGCCAGGAATCAAACCAGAGCCGCCGGGATTAAACTGCAGTACGCTCACTCTGCTGTAACAGTACCAGCCATACAAACACACAAAACACACTCTATCACACACACGCAGACACAGATACTCTCTCATGCAGATTCACTATCATACTTGTGCACACACACTCACCCACACACACACACTCTAACCCACACGCACAAAGACACTCATGCAACACAGCCGCCATTCGCCACCGAGTGGTAGTGACGTCACCACAGCGCCTGTGCCAAGCTAGGTGCAATTTGAGGTCATGTGAAGTGTCGAAGGCCCGCTTGCAGATCATGGGAGAGACCCAGGTGCTATGGGTTGACTGACTGAGATGATTGGCAGAGGCACCACCTGTGTACGAACTCAAATTTTTTTTTTATTATAATATCCCCGTATAGTCTTAACAGACTGTTGGGGTAAGTGCTGTTAGCGAGCACCTATGAAGGCCGGCATGGCAGACGAGGGGGTGGGTGGCCAACACCCCGCCCAGCCGCCTTGTCTCCCTAGTGGCGATGTTTAGACAACGCACCAGGTACTAATTTGAGGCCGAGTCGACCTAGGGGCGGCCCTGGACCTGTTTAAATGTTCGCCACGGTTATTGGTCGCGTGCGGGAATCGAACTCGGATCGCCGGATTCGTAGCGTAACGTGCCAACCACTGCGCCACCGCTGTCCACATGCGTGCGCACACACACACCCACTCTTACCCACAGACACTCAATGCATTTAGACAAACTCTCTCTCACGCACACGCAGACGCACACACGCGCGCGCGCGCGTGCGCCACCCTTGCCAAGATCAACTTTCCACAACAACGATAAAACCCCGGTGACACGGGGGACGTTTCAGAAACTCGCTAAAAGGGGAGAACGTAACCCCTGTTTTGATTTAAATGTATTATTTCTCTCAATCCGCCCCCCTTTTAAGCCGGCGATCGATGAGCCTGCGAATGCTAGCGCACGTGTGGCCATCGGGGACGTAGAATCTTGGCACAAGTTGCCGGGGCGCTTCGAAGGGCGATGCTCGCCGAGGCCAGGCTGGTCTCCAGGGGTGAAGTATGGCAGCGGGGAGGGATGGATGGCGGGAAGGGGAACGCGCGGTCAATGCCAACGCAGAGCTCGCGGCCAACTCCCAGTCGCAACGCGGGGGGGGGGGGGGGGGGGGCAAGCAAACGACTGTAATTTATAAGATATTAAATTACATATTTACCCAGGAGAGACACATTGAGTCAGAAGACTCTTTTACTTGGGGGGGGGAGGGCGGGGGGGTGGATCCCGTTACATTTTAACGTTTGACCAACGGCAATAACATAAAATTTCGATTTAAAGCTTTCGTGACTGCAGGGATTCATCTTCTTGGTTCTTTCGGTAAAGTCACGTAGAAAGGAAATAATAAAATAATAAAACACAATAAAATACAATTCTCACGACGTTTCGGTCACAACGCAGGACGGCTGCTTGCGTAGTGGCCGAAACGTCGTGAGAATTGTATTTCATTATGTTTTATTTTTAATATTTTATTATTTCCCTTCTCCGTGACTTTACCGAAAGAACCAAGGCCAATAACATTGTAACATTCATAGCTACAGCAGGAAACCCCGTTGCAGAACAGGGGAGAGAATATATAAAACTGCACTCGAAAGGCACCGCGATCAGGAATTGGAACCCAGGTGCTGTTTGCCGTGAAGCAGGAGTGCCAATTTAACACGTAGGCTTTCGCGACCAATGTTATTCATAATCAACGTTTTTGGGTTTAGATCGCGTTATTTATAAATGTGTCGTAACCCTCCACCACCTGACACGGCCAATCAGTAAAAAGTGTCACGTTGACAAAAGACAAATAGTTCACTGCTTTAGCCCACCGGTGTGTTGAAGCCACAACATTTTGTACTCAAATTGTAAATGTTGTGGCTTCAACACACCGGTGGGCTAAAGCAGTGAACTATTTGTCTTTTGTCAACGTGACACTTTTTACTGATTGGCCGTGTCGGGTGGTGGAGGGTTGCGACACATTTATAAATAACGCGATCTAAACCCAAAAACGTTGATTATAGGAGTGCCAACCTGCCGCCTATTGCGCCACCAAATGTGATATAGCAAGTGTTGTAGGCCAATGGGTGGAAGAACCTTTCACTTACTGATGGCCACATAGGACTTTCAATTACCGTTGGTGGGCAACCGCACATTAATACGTAAGGGTTAACCAATAGTAGCGCAAAGAATAACAACGCATGTCGACTGGGTCCATGGAGGCCCTTGCAGTGCCGCAAAGCCTTGCGAAGCTTTGCCTGTGTTGGTGCCACGAGACCTGTCAACGCATGGGGCAGCGTGGTGGTTCCAAAAAAGGTACGGCAGCACAGGAAGTGGGTCACTGGCCTGGTGCGAGTCCAGAGGTTCAGAATCGGTGTGACGCATGCCAAGACTGAAAGGCGTATAAAAACTTAGTTGCGGCTTTCGTACAAGTTTTTTTAACTGGGCATGTAATGATCCCATCGATTAAAATATATTCTTTCACTCAAGATACTTGCATCGAATGGAGTGTGCAAGCTTCTTCACAAGTAATGTAATTTACACGCAAATGTTTGGGTGGAATGGTGGCACGGCGGTTAGTCAACCGTGCTATGAACAATGGTGTCCACAGTTTGATTACGGGCCATGGCTAAAATCTGTTGTGATTTTTTTCTGAACTATTCCATGACCAACCTGCATTGACCGGCATAGTGAAGTATGGTCAAATAACCCACATGACCCAAAACGGCATGAGGAGTCTCAGCCACAGAAGTGCCCCTGATTATACATAACAGGACCCTGCGGGGTGGGCTGGTAGGAATAATACTTAGTACCGGTACAGGGATATCGACCGGGTATAGAGGAGTTAAAGACAAAATTACTGTATTCTAGTGTAACGTTAATTAAAAGTGTTTGTTTTGACAAGAAACGCTGTGAGATTTAAAGACCCCCCAACACCACCACCACCCCCCACCACCACCTTCTGCACTAGGCCTCGCGAAGCCTGCCGCACTAGGCCTCGCGCCGTGCTTTTCGTGCACAAATAAGGCGATTAAATGTATCTCGTCTCTGTGTTAATAAATGTTTCTTGTCTCTGTGTTAAAAAAACGTGCTGCGTTTCAGTAAAGTAATTTTTTTATACATATAATCATATATACTCTTAGTTCTTTCGGTAAAGTCACGTAGGTAAAAAATGAAATTAAAATTAACAAAAATAAAATAAAAATCACGACATTGGCTACCACATCCTGATAAGCTCCCCCCCCCTCAACTTGTATTTAAGTGCTTCCATCTTGAATCCCTGCCTCACTTGATGCAGCAAATCTGGCTGTGACTGTCCCACCTTATGACGGAGACTTGTATTGCCTCCGAAACGTCGTGATTTTTTTTATTTTTTATTGTTTTATTTTTATTAATTTTAATTTCATGTTTTACCTACGTGACTTTACCGAAAGAACTAAGAGTATGAATCCTTGCAGTCACGAAAGCTACAAATCTAGAATCATATATATAAACAAAAATATCACCACTAGGCTAATGGAATGAGACAGAATACACAAGACACCTAGTAAAAACAGAACTGAAAAAAATACAGTACCGAATCGAACCGTGACCCAGGAATTGTGACATTTCATCGAATCGCAGGGCCTTGCTAATCACTACGTGCCGATTTAAAAAACCATAGATGATATACGCACGCGCTCGCCATTCAAAAGGTTATCGCGTATTAACGTACACTTTTTTGGGGGCTGTACACAGAAAATGGAAGACGTTTCATCACCACTGATGGCACTGCCAATTTCTGCTGTGACCCACTGGCCATGTTGGGAGATTCAATTCGCCATCGACGCGCTCGATCACGTCCGACAGAGGAAGCGGTGCGAGGCTCGAGCCTTGCTCGCACTCATATGGGAATGATCTGAGAGGACCAGGTGTTCGAGGCGTGGGTTGTGCCACATAGCCAGATGGAAGCAGGGCAGTGTATTATTGCATCCATCTGTGCGGAGCTTCGAGTGATACACCCTCCTGCACCCACCCCCATATCCATTTCTCCAGTCTCCTCTCAGAAGCAGCCAAACTCGCAAAATTGGAATTTAACCAAAACTCCCAAAGCTGCAAGGACCCTGCTGAAACGGCAGCGAGGCTCTTCTGGTTAGGTAGAGCTCATTATTATTGCAGGAGGGCTCAAAGTTGGCTCGGCACGAGCCGTCCAAGCATGCCTTGCAGTCGCTTGGAATCCAACTCGTCACTCTAAAAGAGGTTAAGCCAGTGTTTGGAAGTGCAGGGATTGGAGAGGAGGGAGAGGGTAGTGGTAGGGAGTCAGCAAGAGAGCGCGCTGCGGAGTGGATGAGCGGTGGGGGGGGAAGGGCGTCCCGTTACGAGCAGCCACGCGAGTAACCCTAGCCAAAGTCTCGCGTGACGCCATCTCTTCTTAAACTATTTAATGAGCTACCTCATGTTCTAATCGATTTGTATCGCTGCCCTCTCCATGCAGCCTCGCCGAGGTGGTGGGGGAGGGGGATGCAGCAGCCTTAACCATTTGTTGCACGGACGTTGGCCTTCAGTCTTCCACTTGCAGCCAAATGGAAGCCTCGTGTTACAGGTGCGGGTGAGTGAATGTGCATCGACTTAACAGTGTACATGTAGATGTGTGTTGAACTTCTTTCGCGCACTATACATGGCCCAACCGCGCTAATCTGAGGTGCGTGTACCTGCTGCAGGTGTGTAAGCACCAGCACTGGGGAAACAAGTGGTGGGGCGTGGTGCCGGCCACACCTGCATCACCCCCCATCCCGTGCACCGTCACAGTACTTGCCACAACAGTCGTTGTAGACTATTAGGGATGTCTTTGTTGAAGGGTATATGATTTTTGTGTTGGTGTGTGCATTCGTGTTTGTATATAACGTATGCTGTGAGTGCACACTATTTTTAGGTTTGTATGCGTGGGTGTGAGAATGAATGCACGCGTGTGCATGATCATGCAAACCAGTCACTCCGTGTCCGAGTATGAGTGTGCATTCATTTTTGTGAGGGTAGTGTGTGTGTGTACACGAGTTCACGATTGTATTTGTACGTGTGGATCAGCATTTGTGTAACAGACTGTGCATGTGTCAACGTGTATGCATGAGGGGAAACTAGGTCGACTCAGCCATAAATTAAGACCTGGAGAAGTGTGTAAACATCAGCACCAGGGAGATAATGGTGGCTGGGCGTGATGTTGGCCACCCACCACAGTCGTGTGCCGTACCGGCCTTCCTAGCTGCTCGCTAACAGCAATTTTCCCAAGGGTGGAAAGTTACATAGGGGGGATATTTGTCCTTGTATGAGGGGGAGAGTGGTGGTGTACTGGTTATGGCATTGCACTACAAACCCAGCAGCATAAATTCGATTCCTGGCTAAGGCTAACAATGGTGACGCGTAGGGAAAGAATGGGGTGTCAGATAACAAAAATATATTAATCAGAATTTTACATTTCTGAATATTTAAGGGAATTTTCACATCACGCCATTGTGCACTCATGTAAAATGCCTTACGCGCTCCCAACAGTGACGTCACACGATGCCACGCGACAACACTTTAGATGGGGGGAAAATGTGGAAGTGATGGCAAGTGTTTCCGGATCAATTGTAAATGAGCAAAACATTCTCATTATCTGCCCTTTTGTATCAAGGCCTGATATTCCGCTTTGTCAGATTATCTGAAAACCGGGGGCAAATCGCTCGTGGCAAGTGATATCTGGACTTACCCTAGGCCTCACTTAAGTCAACCGAGTAAACATCAGTGCTCGAGCGTGGTTTGTAAATATGTAAAGTTGAACTTCTTTCGCACCGTACATAGCCAACCATGCTAATCGGAGGTGTGGGAGGGGGGGGAAAAACAGCAACCTAACAAGTAAACCCGTAAAAACAAAGTTTTTCACTATAAATCCTTTATATTCGTGGCAGCGAACTTAATATATGAATGAGTTCTATTTGAATATATGTAAAATAATTTTATTTTGCCTAAAAAGTGTAAAATTTTGGGAATTTTTTTTTCACGAACATTAATTGTCTGGCACAACGAGTCTGTGTTGAAAATGTCAGCTCGATTGGATCACGGGAAGTGGGTTAAAAAACGACCGAAAGATTTGCACGGTCGTAAGCAAGCAAGCAAGTGAACTTAATATAAAGGATTTAAAAAGCAGTTCTAAAGAAATTCGTTTTCAATCTAGATTTAAAAGTGCATAGCTGCAGTGCCTTCGAATATGGAAAGGAAGGACATTCCCAGACGGCTGCAGAAGTGCATCTGAAAGCATGCGATGGAAGTGACCGTCTTTGTGGCCTTTGGGGTGACAAAGGCGACAAAGTTGGCCAGGCATGGTGGTGTGCATCACACCACCCCCCCTTCGTGTGCCATTCCGGCTTTAATAGAAGTCCAGGAGCCCAGACCAGATATTTCCGTAGTCAGTGCCAGATGAGGTGGCATAACTTTAGCGGTTCCAATCTCATTTAACATGGCCAATAACAGTGAATCATGCAATAACCATTTTAAAAGAGAGAGTTATCAAATCATTTCGTGAGACTCAAATGTTTCTACCTTAGGTGGTACCCATTTCTGCTGGGCAGGAACGTGCTCGCTACAGCAGTTTTCTCATGCAAATGCAAGACTAAATATAAAGCTTTGTGTGTGTGCTATAGGGTTTTATGGATTCAATACATACTATATATATTGAACCATATAACCGAGAAGAGCGTCCTACGGCTAAAACCCAGCAAGTTGGCACAGTGAGGAGCACAGGTGGTGCATCTGCCAGTCACGTCAGTCAGTTAACTCGTAACACTGTGGGTCTTCCCCGTGACCTCCTCTCACAGAGCCTTCCACACTTCACGTGATAACATCTAAATGCAAATGTCTGGCACAAACGCCGTAGGTGACGGTTAACCGGTATTTAGTGATGGATAGCAGCTGTTGTTCGAAGAAAGGATTACAGTGGATCGTTGTAAGACACGACACGCCGTCCAAAAGTGTGTGCCCTCGTGTTACATCAGTCCTAGTCATTTCATTTCCTGAGTCCCAGTGTTGTCTGTCCGGACGCTATGCCACTCACTGTGGCTGGTAGAGGAAGAGGTCGATGATGTTGTCACGCCCCTTTGTGTGGTTGAAGAACACGAAGAGGGACCAGTGGATGAGCCACGTGCGCTGCTGCAGCGCCTGCAGCGGAGAGCTGACCGACTGCGGGCGGAACGCGGCAGACAACGGAGTGACAACGCGACAAGAGCGTGACAATGACAACACGGCAACAACATTAATGCATTGTAGCAACACGACACAAATTGGACAACCACATTCAAAAGAGCAAATGTGCAAGGGATGCCAGCCATCTTTCAGCACACGATACAACTGCCACCTAGTGGCAAAATCTGGACACAAAAAAATATTGGACACGATTACTGGGGGCAGTGGAGTTGAGATGCACTCAAGAAGGCTCAAGCAATCAACAGCTCCGTCCGTCTCTGTAGCTCCCAAGAAGCCCTTACGAGCCTATCGAGACACACCAAGCCTTGGGGCTTGAACCCAAGGTTTTCGCCGTGTGTTTTCTACGGCAACTAAATGGACAATATAGGCCTACCGAGATACACCCACGGCTTCACCCAAAGAAATCGTCCGTCCGGTCTCAACGGCTTAGACACGGTCATTGTGAACCTAAGTCTCATGCCCTAAGCCACCCCATGTCTCTCCCAGCAACGCACGTTGTTGTCGATGGTGTCCTTGAGCCGGGACAGGTCCTCCATTGCCGCCTCCCAGTTCTGCATCAGGATCTCGGACGCCAGCTTTCCCCACAGCGAGTTCAGAGCATTGCGGTCGTTGGCAGGGACCTGGAAGGAGGTTGGGGGAGTAGGGGTGGGGGGTGACAACCGCAGTGGGCGGGGGCGACCGGTGGTGTCAAGGACCCCAGAGTGTAGCCAGAGTCAGGCACGCTAGGAGGAGGCTGTGTCCCTAGGCTGTGTCCCTAGGCTGTAACAGAGTATCAGAGTATTGTTTTTTGTTTGCATTTGACTGCAAGTATTGTGGTTAATGTAAGCATGATTCCTTGCAAAAGGTGTCAGTTTTGTTGCCAGAAAAAAGGGGAAAAACCCTATTAGTATCAGGACTGTTGGAGTGTTGTATCGTAATAAAGAAGTTACCTCTACAAGTGTCTCCGGAACCCATTACATTTCATGCGCAGCGACACTAAATTACCAGCTCACATGCCCATTCCACTAAACAAGCACACAGCTCATAAGCTTAAACTGTTTCGAGCTTAGGCTATCGCTTACACAAGCGCCTTTAACACGAACGCGGTGATGCATGTGGTGATGTAAATGTAAATCCACCCCTGGATGAGGGCTTCCCCACTATGTGCTGGTTGTGGAGGTTATTTAACCATACTTCACTATATTAAACCGTGTGAATTGATGAAGCCAGGGAACAAAGACAAAAAGACAAAGATCCCCCATGTAGCATTAACAGATGTGTTGGAGGAAGTGCTGTTTGCGACCACCTATGGAGGCGGGCACAGCACACAATGGGGATGGGTGGCCAACACCATGCCTGACCCGCCTTTGGACTCTCAAGTGGCGATGTTAACTCATAGCACTGCATACTCATTTCAGGCCGAGTCACTAGGTGAGGCCCAGACTGGTTCAGATAATTCGTCAATGGATTTGGTGGCCACGAGCGGGAACCGCACAAGGACAAAGATCCCCCATGTAGCCTTAACAGACTGTTGGGGAAAGTGCTGTGAACGAGCACCTATGAAGGCCAGTACGGCACACGAGGGGGTGGGTGGCCAGCACCACGCCCATCCGCCTTTGTTTCTCACACACGTGCAATGCGAGTGGGGTGTGGTACCAGCACACGGTGGAAGTAGAGGTACTCCGCTGCTCCCGAGTAGTTCCCGCATTCGTACTGGAACTTGGCGTACTTGTAGAGCGTGTCCAGGTACTCTGCGCGGAACTGAGTCGTTGCAGGACAAAGTCCGTGGCGGGGAGGAGAGGACGAGCCGTGATGAATCAACTCACACAATCAATGTTAGCTTTGGCTACAAATCACCAGCATTTTCCACTGAAGTAGAATAACTCAGGTTTATTTTTCATCACATTAGGATATTTAGAGCAACTTTTCCCATTTTCCTAAATTATAATTTTTATCTAACAACCACATGGCGTCGGTTCATAAAGCCTGACACGTCAGGCAGATGTAACGGTGATTGGAGGCTACTGCCAATTCTGCCATCGACGCCGAGACTAAAGCTTACACCCTATAGCTTTACTCGTCTAAATGTGAATGCATCTCAAATCGCAGATCTAAATGCGGGAAACATAACCGCAGTGGCGAAAACACGAGAGAAAAACACGAAACCATACACATCAAGTGACAACAGAAAAGGGAACCGCAGAAGAAGCCAGCTGACAACACCATACACAAATGACAGGGGAACTAGAGCCGCCAATCATCCTTGCAGCGGCTTTTGGCCAACCATCGAATAAAGACGGCAACTCCATTGTGTACTTTCGGATGTGCTTCTGCGGCCATCTGAAACGCTCTTCCTTCCCATATTAGGAAGCCACTGGGGTTATGCACTTTGAAATCATCTACAGATTTTTGTGTATAGTTTGTTGTCCTTCCTCCGCACCTCCGACGAGCACGGTTGGCTACGTACGGTGCAAAAGAAGTTCAACGTCCATACATTGAGCAAGGCCAACTGAGGAAACCCAGCTTGATCACGAGGCTGCTGTTGCTAGCCAAGCGCGGTCACTAAACAGAGTTGGTCGTCACTGGGTTGATGTTGGTAGTCGTAGGTGGTCATGGATACTTTACTTCATAGTCATATTGAGCTGGCTTTGATGGTCACTGGAATGGTGTCGGTAGTCATGAGAACTGATTTGGAAATGAACAGTTGTAATTGGTAGTTGCCGAGCTGTGGATGTCAAATGGTGTAATGTAATAGAACTGTCTTCTTGGTTCTTTCTGTAAAGTCACGTAGAAGGGAAATAATAAAATAATAAAAATAAAACATAATAAAATACAATGACAATTGTTACTTTACCGAAAGAACCAAGAAGATGAATCCCTGCAGTCACGAAAGCTTTAAATCGTAATGTCATAGAACCGGTTGGTATTCATGGGGCTGGTCCTGGTAGCGACACCAACGAGTTGGTGGCGACTGAGTTTGTATTGGCGGTCACTAGCAACACGAGCTCTGGTGGCAGGGCTGGTGTTGCTAGTCACGAAGGGTGGTTAAGCATAACACCGTGGTGGTCACGTGGGCAGGGGAGAGCAATGCAGCTGCGGCGGGATCACTGTGTCCCCTGTTGGAACGCGGCCGCCTTCGCTCACCCCGTGGTTCTCAGCCAGGTAATCGAAGAGCTGCCGTCCATCCCTGCACGAGACACAATCACGCGACACACCAGACATCAGCTGTGGCTGCCATTGTAGCTTGGTTCGCGATGTAGTTGGTGATATATTTTGTGATGTAGGTGAAGATGTACATGGGCGATGTAGTAGGTGGTTAGGTACGTGGTAATGTACGTGGTTCTCTTAGCTGAAGCAGGTGGGATGTAAGATATAAAATATGATGCACTAGTAATGCAACTACAGAGATAGTTTGTCATGATCACTGATATTGTCATCATCAAGCTCATAGTCATTTAAATGGCGATATAGCGAATGCAGCAAATAGTGTAGCTGCGATATATTTAGTGACGTAGCAGACTATATAACTTGGGAACTGGCTAACAATATAATTGATGAGAGATATGCTGATATAGGCATGTGTATGTGTAAATTGTGCATTTGTACATGTGTATATGTGTATATGTGTATATGGCAGAGGTGGGACAAAGTCATTGTTATGCAAGTCCAAGTCGAGTCTGAAGTCATCAAATTCATGACTCGAGTCTGACTCGAGTCCACACCTCTGGTATATGGTGTTCACGTAAAAGTTTGTATGCATGTGTGCACACGGTGGCTCAGGGGTTATGGTTCTGCACAAGCTCAACTTCAGGTCAGCAATATCTGCGGTTGTTATGGACCTCCCCTAGGTCGACTAAGCCTTAATTGAGCACTTGGTGCATTGTGAGAACCTTAACAGTTGGGAGACAAAAGTAGCCAGGACTTTCGTTCGGACAACAGGGCCCACTCATGTGCCATTCCGGTCTTAACAGGGACTCGCTCACAGGTCATCTGTGAACCTTATTGGGCATTTGTGAAAAAAACCTTTATAGCTCATCGGATTCCTCCAGTATAAGTAAATATCCTGATTGTGATATTCTGTAGCATGCGCGTGCATGCAGACGTCACCGTGCGTTCTGGATCTGCCTCTGGACTTCCGCGTCTTCGAACATCTTCACTATGGGCTCCGTCTCCGCTTGAAGCTGCTTCAGTTGAGATACAACCTGTGCTCGCTTCTCCTTGAGAGCTGCAAGGCACAAGCAACATCACACAATGTGGATTTATGTAGTGTCTAAATGTAACCACAGCTCGAGATGCTGGACAGAAACAGAGGGAATTTATTTCAATGAGAAAGGAAGTCACTCATTAGGCATAGGAAAAAAGGAAGGACTCTAGCGTGTGCTTGAATTAGGGCAGGATGTCAAGAGCAGGGATGGATGTGGAAAATAAGTTTTAGACTATGGCGGCGGGAAAATTAGCAACCTCCCACTGAGCGAAGGTTGACCGGAGGCTTTCACAGAAAGTTTTGATTGCTGGGGGAACAGAGCGCGAGAGGGGGGACATAGGTGGGAACAAATCCAGTGGGGTATTTGAAGATTGCGAGTGCAATCTTTAAGTTGATCAGGGATTGCATAGAATGGGCCGCTATTGCGGTGATGTGGTATCTTTACAGGTGTAGATAAGAAGTCTCGAAGCGGCATTTAGAGCTTAAAGGCTATATGTACTACCACCACTGTGTGGTGATAAATACAGTAATCATTGGAAAGATGTTATTAACCACGCAAAAAAGACTTAATTACACTTTTTGGACCATCTTATCTGACAGGCACTATTTTACTTTACTTTACCGAGTGTTAACATCCCCAGTGTTTAACAGTACTCTCTTCATTGTTCAGCCAGCATTGGTATAAACATGGGCATTTTCGTTCTTTTCTATCATGTGTATCAGGCCTCCCCCTCCCCCCCTCTCTGTCGCTTGCGCACAATCGCTTCCACGTCGTCGCCCACCCTTTTGGCCCCGCCCCCCTCCCTCCCGATACTTTCCATTCATTGGCTACCACATTCTGATTAGCCCCCCCCCTCAACTCGCTTTTAAGGGATTCATTGCCTCACTTGATGCAGCTAATCTGGCTGTGACGGTCCCACCTGATGACGGAGACTTGTGTTGCCTCCGAAACGTCGTGATCTTTATTTTATTTTTATTAATTTTGATGTTTTACCTACGTGACTTTACCGAAAAAACCTAAGAATACAGTAACACGGTTTAGTGGTCTATGCAGTGCACTTCAATCATGGTCCACCGGCTTGGATTACTTGTTTAGGACTCCCACCATGGTCACGAGTGTTTAGTTTTTTTGTCCTCCCCCGCACCTCCGATTGGCACGGTTGGGTACGTACCATACGAAATAAGTTTTTTACATATATAACAGTGACCAAGTGTCGCATGGACCTGGCCGTCGTCTCTCGCTTACTCTGTGGGATGTCTTGGTTGGGGTACAGGTTCTTATTTACGTCCATGGCAAAATCCACCATGTTCGTGTTGCTGAGCAGATCCAGCTTCCCTTGCAGCAGCTCCTTCTCATCATAAATCTAAGGACACACAACACACGCGCACACACACGTGTGTAAATCCACACAGGTGTAACCACGCACGCACAGGACTAACCACGTAAGTGTAAGCACGGACACAAACATGGGTATAAAGGAACCACAGCTGTACACACCGGTGCACGGACTGAAAAAGAGAGTGGGCCTCCAACAGCCAAGCTAAGAAACGTATCAAAGCTTACAAGAATGTCTGGAGACACGTCTAAAGCCGTGCTGCGTGCAGTGTATAACAAAGAGTCATGTACACCCCCCCCCCCTCTTCCTTTCACAATCAACTGCTGTACGACGGCATCCCCACGCGGTTGTGGGGATTTGGCAATACAGTACTGTACTGTAATTCACAGGCACCTGGTCAGTGTGGGGGTCGTGCAAGAGTTGGGGGGGGGGGGGGTTCAGGTATGCTCCATCGATGTTAGCCGAGGCCGGGAATCGAACCTCACGTGGCAGGATGTATAGCGCGGTGTTCGGCTAACAATGGACTCAACAAAATGAGACCTTTTTTAAATCCTTTATATTAAGTTCGCTTGCTTGCTTGCGTGCTTGCGTACTTGCTTGCTTGCTTACGACCGTGGAAATCTTTCGGTCGTTTTTTAACCCACTTCCCGTGATCCAATCGAGCTGACATTTTCCACACAGACTCGTTGTGCGTGACAATTAATTTTCGTTAATTTTTTTTTCCAAATTTTTACACTGTTTAGGGAAAATAAATTAAATATTTCATTACCAATTGCTTAATGCTGGCAGACAATCATCTGACCCATAGGTGGCAGCCATCTCAAGCCAGAGGACGAGAGGACTCTAGCCGCCACGCATATAAAGGATTTAGAGTGAAAAACTTTGTTTTTACGGGTTAATTTATTACCGGCATCAAAGTATTTTTTCAGTGCACTAACCACTGCACCACCGCTCCACCCGGTGTTTGCCTTTGTACATAACGGCATCTATACAATGTTTATAGCGTTACCATTCACGTTACAACTCCGTAATGGCTTCTGGGGGTTAATAACCGCATCGGTTAAACGTTAAAATAATAAAAGCTTATTGATAAATTCCACACGTGCGCGGCGACCATTCACACAGAGGCCTACACAGGGCTTCCCATTCAGATTCCCTACACCACATAGGTCCGGCGGCTCAGCCCCCGGCCAATCAAAAGCCGAGCAGCGGAACCCCACGTGACCCGGCTCCTCCAATCGCACGCGGCGCTTGTTAACCTTATCCGCGCTACGAAATCAAAACGCGTTTTCGGGCCTCTTCGCTTAGAGCGGAGCGAGGGGAGAGACGCGGGAAGGTTAAAAACTCCCCGAGATGGGAGGTCCAGTCGCCTCGACGGCTTTCCCCGGGCGCGCGGTACCTCTTTGACGGACAGAAATTCGAGCAGCGGGAAGACGAGATGCCTGTCCAGGCAGCGCCCGATGTTCGTGGTCAAGTCGAACTCCGCCATCTTGGCGCGGAGGGGAGGGGGCAATGAGACCTTGCGGGGGGCGGAGTCCCCTGACGTCACTTCCGGGTGGGGGTGGGGGGTGGGGGGAGCTAGTGTTGGGGGGAGGGGGTTGAGGGGGTTGTTGGTATTGGGGTGAGGGGGGGTGAGGGGAGTGAGGGGGTATTGGGGTGAGGGGGGGTGAGGGAAGGTGAGGGGGGTTGGGGTGAGGGGGTATTGGGGTGAGGGGGGGTGAGGGGAGGTGAGGGGGTATTGGGGTGAGGGGGGGTGAGGGGAGGTGAGGGGGTATTGGGGTGAGGGGGGGTGAGGGAAGGTGAGGGGGGTTGGGGTGAGGGGGTATTGGGGTGAGGGGGGGTGAGGGGAGGTGAGGGGGTATTGGGGTGAGGGGGGGTGAGGGGAGGTGAGGGGGTATTGGGGTGAGGGGGTATTGGTATTGGGGTGAGGGGGGGTGAGGGGAGGTGAGGGGGTATTGGGGTGAGGGGGGGTGAGGGAAGGTGAGGGGGGTTGGGGTGAGGGGGTATTGGGGTGAGGGGGGGTGAGGGGAGGTGAGGGGGTATTGGGGTGAGGGGGGGTGAGGGGAGGTGAGGGGGTATTGGGGTGAGGGGGTATTGGGGTGAGGGGGGGTGAGGGAAGGTGAGGGGGGTTGGGGTGAGGGGGTATTGGGGTGAGGGGGGGTGAGGGGAGGTGAGGGGGTATTGGGGTGAGGGGAGTGAGGGGAGGGGGTATTGGGCTGAGGGGAGTGAGGGGGGGGGGGTGAGGGGGTATTGGGGTGAGGGGGGGTGAGGGGAGGTGAGGGGGTATTGGGGTGAGGGGGGGTGAGGGAAGGTGAGGGGGGTTGGGGTGAGGGGGTATTGGGGTGAGGGGGGGTGAGGGGAGGTGAGGGGGTATTGGGGTGAGGGGAGTGAGGGGAGGGGGTATTGGGGTGAGGGGAGTGAGGGGGGGTGAGGGGGTATTGGGGTGAGGGGGGGTGAGGGGAGGTGAGGGGGTATTGGGGTGAGGGGGGGGTGAGGGGGTATTGGGGTGAGGGGGGTGAGGGAGTGAGGGGGTATTGGGGTGAGGGGGGGGTGAGGGGGTATTGGGGTGAGGGGGGGTGAGGGGAGGTGAGGGGGTATTGGGGTGAAGGGGGGTGAGGGGGTATTGGGGTGAGGGGGGGTGAGGGGAGGTGAGGGGGTATTGGGGTGAGGGGGGGGTGAGGGGGTATTGGGGTGAGGGGGGGTGAGGGGGGGTGAGGGGGTATTGGGGTGAGGGGGGGTGAGGGGAGGTGAGGGGGTATTGGGGTGAGGGGGGGTGAGGGGAGGTGAGGGGGTATTGGGGTGAGGGGGGGTGAGGGGAGGTGAGGGGGTATTGGGGTGAGGGGAGTGAGGGGAGGTGAGGGGGTATTGGGGTGAGGGGGTGTGAGGGGAGGTGAGGGGGTATTGATATTGGGGTGAGGGGGTGTGAGGGGAAGTGAGGGGGTATTGGGGTGAGGGGGGGTGAGGGGAGGTGAGGGGGTATTGGGGTGAGGGGGTGTGAGGGGGTATTGGGGTGAGGGGGGGGGTGAGGGGAGGGGAGGGGGATTGGGGTGAGGGGGGGTGAGGGGAGGTGAGGGGGTATTGGGGTGAGGGGGGGTGAGGGGAGGTGAGGGGGTATTGGGGTGAGGGGAGTGAGGGGAGGTGAGGGGGTATTGGGGTGAGGGGGTGTGAGGAGAGGTGAGGGGGTATTGATATTGGGGTGAGGGGGTGTGAGGGGAGGTTAGGGGGTATTGGGGTGAGGGGGGGTGAGGGGAGGTGAGGGGGTATTGGGGTGAGGGGGTGTGAGGGGGTATTGGGGTGAGGGGGGGTGAGGGGAGGGGAGGGGGATTGGGGTGAGGGGGGGTGAGGGGAGGTGAGGGGGTATTGGGGTGAGGGGAGGTGAGGGGAGGTGAGGGGGATTGGGGTGAGGGGGTATTGGTATTGGGGTGAGGGGAGTGAGGGGAGGTGAGGGGGATTGGGGTGAGGGGGGGTGAGGGGAGGTGAGGGGGTATTGGGTTGAGGGGGGTGAGGGGAGGTGAGGGGGTATTGGGGTGAGGGGGTATTGGTATTGGGGTGAGGGGAGTGAGGGGAGGTGAGGGGGTATTGGGGTGAGGGGGGTGAGGGGAGGTGAGGGGGTATTGGGGTGAGGGGGTATTGGTATTGGGGTGAGGGGAATGAAGGGAGGTGAGGGGGTATTGGGGTGAGGGGGGTGAGGGGAGGTGAGGGGGTATTGGGGTGAGGGGGTATTGGTATTGGGGTGAGGGGAGGTGAGGGGGTATTGGGGTGAGGGGGTATTGGTATTGGGGTGAGGGGAGGTGAGGGGGTATTGGGGCGAGGGGGGTGGGGGGAGCTAGTATTGGGGTGAGGGGGTATTGGGGGGAGTTGTTGGTATTGGGGGGAGGGGGTTGAGGGGAGGTGAGGGGGATTGGGGTGAGGGGAGTGAGGGGGTATTGGTATTGGGGTGAGGGGAGGTGAGGGGAGGTGAGGGGAGGTGAAGGGGTATTGGGGTGAGGGGGGTGGGGGGAGCTAGTATTGAGGTGAGGGGGTGTGAGGGGAGGTGAGGGGGTATTGGGGTGAGGGGGTATTGGGGTGAGGGGGGGTGAGGGGAGGTGAGGGGGTATTGGGGTGAGGGGAGGTGAGGGGGTATTGGGGTGAGGAGGGAGCTAGTATTGAGGTGAGGGGGTGTGAGGGGAGGTGAGGGGTATTGGGGTGAGGGGAGGTGAGGGGGTATTGGGGTGAGGGGGGGGGGGGTGAGGGGAGGTGAGGGGGTATTGGGGTGAGGGGGGGTGAGGGGAGGTGAGGGGGTATTGGGGTGAGGGGGTATTGGGGTGAGGGGGGGTGAGGGGAGGTGAGGGGGGTATTGGGGTGAGGGGTATTGGGGTGAGGGGGTATTGGTATTGGGGTGAGGGGAGTGAGGGGAGGTGAGGGGGTATTGGGGTGAGGGGGTATTGGGGTGAGGGGGGGTGAGGGGTTATTGGTATTGGGGTGAGGGGGGGTGAGGGGAGGTGAGGGGGTATTAGGGTGAGGGGGCGTGAGGGGGGTGAGAGGGTATTGGTATTGGGGTGAGGGGAGTGAGGGGGTATTGGTATTGGGGTGAGGGGAGTGAGGGGAGGTGAGGGGGTATTGGGGTGAGGGGGGTGAGGGGGGTGAGGGGGTGTTGATATTGGGGTGAGGGGAGGTGAGGGGGTATTGGGGTGAGGGGGTTTTGGTATTGGGGTGAGGGGGTGTGAGGGGAGGTGAGGGGGTATTGGGGCGAGGGGGGTGAGGGGGTATTGGTATTGGGGTGAGGGGGGGTGAGGGGAGGTGAGGGGGTATTGGGGTGAGGGGGTGTGAGGGGAGGTGAGGGGGTATTGGGGTGAGGGGGTATTGGTATTGGGGTGAGGGGGGGGTGAGGGGAGGTGAGGGGGTATTGGGGTGAGGGGGTGTGAGGGGAGGTGAGGGGGTATTGGGGTGAGGGGGGGTGAGGGGAGGTGAGGGGGTATTGGGGTGAGGGGGGGTGAGGGGGTATTGGTATTGGGGTGAGGGGGTGTGAGGGGGTATTGGGGTGAGGGGGGGTGAGGGGGGGTGAGGGGAGGTGAGGGGGTATTGGGGTGAGGGGGTATTGGGGGGAGTTGTTGGTATTGGGGGGAGGGGGTTGAGGGGAGGTGAGGGGGATTGGGGTGAGGGGAGTGAGGGGGTATTGGTATTGGGGTGAGGGGAGGTGAGGGGAGGTGAAGGGGTATTGGGGTGAGGGGGGTGGGGGGAGCTAGTATTGAGGTGAGGGGGTGTGAGGGGAGGTGAGGGGGTATTGGGGTGAGGGGAGGTGAGGGGGTATTGGGGTGAGGGGGGGGGGGTGAGGGGAGGTGAGGGGGTATTGGGGTGAGGGGGGGTGAGGGGAGGTGAGGGGGTATTGGGGTGAGGGGGGGTGAGGGGAGGTGAGGGGGTATTGGGGTGAGGGGGGTGAGGGGAGGTGAGGGGGTATTGGGGTGAGGGGGTATTGGGGTGAGGGGGGGTGAGGGGTTATTGGTATTGGGGTGAGGGGGGGTGAGGGGAGGTGAGGGGGTATTAGGGTGAGGGGGCGTGAGGGGGGTGAGGGGGTATTGGTATTGGGGTGAGGGGAGTGAGGGGGTGTTGATATTGGGGTGAGGGGAGGTGAGGGGGTATTGGGGTGAGGGGGTTTTGGTATTGGGGTGAGGGGGTGTGAGGGGAGGTGAGGGGGTATTGGGGCGAGGGGGGTGAGGGGGTATTGGTATTGGGGTGAGGGGGGGTGAGGGGAGGTGAGGGGGTATTGGGGTGAGGGGGTGTGAGGGGAGGTGAGGGGGTATTGGGGTGAGGGGGTATTGGTATTGGGGTGAGGGGGGGGTGAGGGGAGGTGAGGGGGTATTGGGGTGAGGGGGTGTGAGGGGAGGTGAGGGGGTATTGGGGTGAGGGGGGGTGAGGGGAGGTGAGGGGGTATTGGGGTGAGGGGGGGTGAGGGGGTATTGGTATTGGGGTGAGGGGGTGTGAGGGGGTATTGGGGTGAGGGGAGGTGAGGGGGGGTGAGGGGAGGTGAGGGGGTATTGGGGTGAGGGGGTATTGGGGGGAGTTGTTGGTATTGGGGGGAGGGGGTTGAGGGGAGGTGAGGGGGATTGGGGTGAGGGGAGTGAGGGGGTATTGGTATTGGGGTGAGGGGAGGTGAGGGGAGGTGAAGGGGTATTGGGGTGAGGGGGGTGGGGGGAGCTAGTATTGAGGTGAGGGGGTGTGAGGGGAGGTGAGGGGGTATTGGGGTGAGGGGAGGTGAGGGGGTATTGGGGTGAGGGGGGGGGGGGTGAGGGGAGGTGAGGGGGTATTGGGGTGAGGGGGGGTGAGGGGAGGTGAGGGGGTATTGGGGTGAGGGGGGGTGAGGGGAGGTGAGGGGGTATTGGGGTGAGGGGGGTGAGGGGGTATTGGGGTGAGGGGGTATTGGTATTGGGGTGAGGGGAGTGAGGGGAGGTGAGGGGGTATTGGGGTGAGGGGGTATTGGGGTGAGGGGGGGTGAGGGGTTATTGGTATTGGGGTGAGGGGGGGTGAGGGGAGGTGAGGGGGTATT